TGGCATCATTTTTATTATTATTGGGAAATGAGATAGGTATGTACTCGGTATCCTTAAGGTGAAGCTGAATTTGTGAAAAAGAAACAAATGATGAGGGGTTGTTTGTAATTTCTGACGATATTTTTTCTCTCTAAACTTCATGGATATTTGCATTAAATCCAACCCCAGCCTGTTGGGAATATACTGGGTATGTTGTTGTTGTTGTTGTTGTTGTTGTTCGTATAAAGCTAGAACACTAATAAGCTATCCTTTCCATATCTACTAGAAATTTGAGGTTAACATTTCCATCTTCTGTTTGCAGAAAATGCGTTTTTACCGGTTCACGAGCCTCATCCCTAGCATCGTAAGAGAAGTTACTAACAGTTCTTGCTCGTCTTATGAATAATTATCATCAACATAGTCTTGCACCCGAGCATGATTATCTAATCAAGAACCTCAAGTGTAAACTGTGTAAGTTTGATTAGATAGAAATCTCTCTGTATGATTTATTCTAGTTTATGCAGTGTAAAAAAGGTTGTCAAAATTCTGCAATCCCACATTATATGCCTCTTTAATTTTTAATTTTTCGTACTTGCGAGATTAATCGCTTTTGGATCGTGCTGTTTAGTACATACTGCGTGTACGAAATTGTTGCCTGGTGAACAAATATTCACAAGTCTGTAAATGATAAATAATTGAATAGAATCACTCCGTGAACCCTACTATTTTTTAACCATATGTGTAAATGTTACACTATATTTCTTGACTTCTGCAAAAAATTTGAAATGATTGATGTGTTAGAGTATGTGCCAAATATATGAGGCAAAATGAGTAACATGACACGGTTTTATATTGATAGGCTATATAATTGAACAAAATGTTGAAAAAAAAAAAATGATTGTTATCAAACTTTGGCTATAGTCCTTTGTTTTCTAATCTTTAATGAAGGTTTTTTTTTCTTTCATTTATATTACTTGTTTAAATAATAAACATACATGATACAACCACTTAAAATTAACAAAGAATAAAGAACATATCGAAACTTAGGACTGCACAAAATATGGTTAACTGAATTAAACTAAAATTTAGTTTTGGTCAAAACTGAAACTGAATATCTCGTTCAGTAATATTTTGATAATCAATTTGATTTGATATAAGGGTTCGTTTAATCAAATCGAATTAAAAAAATCGCGACTATCCATACATTTGTTAGAAGGTAAATGGAATAATCATCTTCATCTATCCACATCCATATTTAAACCCGGGTTTAGGCTCGTTTTCATGTGTTTTCCTCATTTTCTTTCTTCATTTTCTATCAATGGCGAACCAGTAACCGAATAGAACGGACCAACAAATGAAATGAATCGATTTGGTTCTCATTTTGGACAAAGCAAAATTTCAATTAACTGATTTTTTGTGGGTTTGGTTCGATCGAGGGGTTCAACAAACCTAGACATGTCAACTTGTTTGCACCCCACATCAAGACTCAAAGAATCCTATCGAAATTTTTACCTTTTTTTTTTCGGCAACGCTAAAAAGGCCAAATAAAGAAAAAGCAAGCAAATTTATCACACTTAACGTGTTATCACTTGTCAGAGATGAGTTGGGTTGGGCATGGGAATATGTAACTGAGAGTGACTGCTGGTCGTTGAGTCCAACCACACTACCACAGTAAAACCCATTTCGCATTTCTTGCTTTATTCTATTCTATCATTGCAAAACTTGTGCTTTTTTCATCCTTTCACCGCGGTTAAAAAGAGAAAAGAACAAGAGAACAAAAACCACAGATTCCTTGAACTTTGTCTGGACGAATACCCAACAATTCCCCCCCACCTCCCTCTCTCTCTACAGGTTAATTAGAGATGGTGGTGATGCAGTGAAGAATTAAAATTGAAATCTTTGCAAATTCAGAAATTTTCTTAACCACGTGTTTCGAAACTTCCCCCATGGATGTTTGGAGATTTTTCAGCTTAATTTGCTTCTGGGCTTGTGTGCTGATTTGTTTGATCAGCCCTGCTAGAGTGACTGCTGGTGACATAGTTCATGACGACGAGACTCCCAAGAAGCCAGGATGCGAGAATGATTTCGTGTTGGTAATTTTTTTTTTTTTTTTTTTTTAACTCTACTGCAATATCTCGTATGGGTTTGTCTTTAATCTTTTGAGTTTATGCTGGAAGGATTGAATCTTGGAGATTCTTGTTCAGTCTTTGAGAGTTTTTTGTTGGTGGGGTTGAATCTGTAGCTTTGATGTAATATTTGTTGAAGTGCCTCGAGCTGACATTAGCGATGGGTTGCTTATTTGGGGAATTTTTAGACATAGCTTTCTGCATTTTCTTAATTCGTGAATTGAAGAGTTCAGATCATATTCTTTTCTGTTCATCATTTTGGGGAAATTTTTTTATAGGTAAAAGTCCAGACTTGGGTTGATGGTGTAGAGGATGTGGAATTTGTTGGTGTTGGTGCTCGATTTGGGACTACCATAGTATCGAAAGAGAAAAATGCTAATCAAACTCATCTCGTTCGATCGGACCCTCGGGATTGCTGCAGTCCTCTTAGAAAGAAGGTTATTGTTTAACTGTTTTAATTTACACGGGATTCTATATAACTCCTCGGATGCTAATTGTGTAATTTTTCTGTTCTTCTTTTTAATGCTTTTAGATTGCTGGTGAGGTTTTAATGGTGGACAGAGGCCATTGCAAGTTCACATCCAAGGCGAATTTCGCTGAAGCTGCTGGTGCTTCAGCAGTCCTCATTATAAACAATGAGAAAGGTAGTGATTGCTTGTGTTTGTAAATGTTCATAAAATTTATCCTCCCTTTTTTGATCTATTTATCCTGTTTTGACTTTTTAAAGCGTAGCCAGTTTAAAGTTTTCATAATCCGAAATAAATATGTATGCAAATATTATATCATGCGAACAAATTTCTTGAACATGGGTGCAATAATGATGTCAATGGTTAATTTCTGCTTCCCAAATGAATTTCTTTCAACTTTGTATAAATGTCTGTTTTTTCCTGAATTTTGCAGAACTATACAAGATGGTTTGTGAGCCTGATGAAACTGATTTAGACATACACATTCCCACCGTTATGCTCCCACGTGATGCTGGTGCAACATTGGAGAAAATGTTGTCCAATAGTTCCTCAGGTAATACTTTCACGTGCTGGGCGATTATGTCATGTGT